CCTTGGTGATGTGGACGACCATTGCATTGAAACAGGAGTAATCTCTATATAACTGCATGGTACTAAGCACTTAAATGTGCAAAGAGATACCAGAACCATTTAAAGCTTTTTCTCTTCACTAAACACAATTTTAACTAAAAATACTTACTATGGGGACAGGGTCTCCATTTGAATATTGCAATTTTTAAATGCTGTCTGTATTTAGAGTCTCTGAGAGACACATGCTGTTTATGTACCACCTGTATGTGCAGAAAGAGAGTAAATGTGAAGTTAAAGCTGCCCACCAGCTAAAGAGTCCTTGGTGGGGAAAAAAGGCTTTGCTATGGGTACTTTTAGTATCACTTGGATTTTCAGAGATTTCTGTTTGTAAATGGTTTCATGTTCTGTGGAAGTAAATTTCCAACCATAAATTAAACTCTATAGGCAGAGATCCCCAGGGGGAACCCATCATGGAGAATTCCTTCTTGTGAGCCTCCATCTGTATGGCTGAATTTATCCTTGAAGTAACTCCACTGGTGTTAATATTACAAGAAGGATCAATTTCCTTTATGTAATTTATTTCATTTCTAACACCAAGGAGGCCAGGTCAGCCACTCTGAACCAAGGAGGCCAGGTCAACCACTCTGAAAGAGTAAACCACCTTATTTCCATTTTCACTTGCAAAACTACAGCAATTTAGAGCCAAYTATTTAGTCCCACTATCCCTAATGCTGGGTCAGATTTTATGGTCAATGCAGGATGATGTTCTAGTGAAGGATATTAACACTGAAATAGTCACAACTGGTTCAAAACTGGATTCAGATTACCTTAGATTGGGATACTGGAGATTAAAAATATCCAGAACCCTCTCCAGCCTGAGGATAATAATGGTGGTTGATTATGAGGCAGGAGGTAATGATGGCTTGTGTATTGCCCACAGCTCTTCAGATGTATCTTTTCTGGGTGGGTTAAGGATGATCAAATCTCTCACCCCTCACAGATGGTAGCTGTCTGAAGCTGTTTYAGAGGCTAGGTTTTAGGCAAGGAGTACACAATACTGTCCTGAGAACTAACATTTCTGAGTTAGCCAGAGGCTGTGGTGCAATAAATCAAGATGCTGTGCCTTCTGTGACATATATTCCCACTACTTTTCATACGGTCTGGCTGACCTTCATACCCACAGAACTGCTTTTGTGAAGTAGTGCAAAGTCCATGGCTTCCATGCTCCATTTTCAATGGGACATGATTTACRAGTAGAAATCTTGTAAAAATGGAATTTTAGATGCATTTCCTTCACTGACAAGTTGGCAAACATCTTATAAATCACAATGCAAGTGCCAAAATCCCTGCCAGTGATCAACAGATCTTATCAAGCTTTTATAGTCTTCAAAAGTAAATTCCASAGAATCTTGTTCTAATTTATTACTAACTTGCTATTAGAAAATGTCATTGAATGAGCAATATTTGCTATAATGGCAAGCTCACAAACCATCTGCAATACCTGCAAATAAATTATATCTTCTTCTGATCTAAAAATACATGTTTCTTATTAGATTCTAGAAAGAATGGGGCAAGTAACTTGGTTACAAAAACACCACAAATCCTGTGCACTGTGTAGTCTCATTTTATGCACTGACATTCTTCACATCTGTGCAAATAAAGCCATTGTTACAAGCACAAAGAGCTGTGGCGTACAATACATGCAGCTATGAAACCRTGAGTGCTGCTATGTGTTGAGTCTTTAAATGGAAGTGGCACATCTGCTTTTGGCATAGGAGTGCAAATCAGTCCAAGATGTTTATTAAAGAGTAAGTAACGACCTGTCCACACGCTCTTTCTTCCATCTAGYCTTGGTTTTGTTCTTGCTTTGTTATTTTCCTGGCAGCTAGACATCAGTTCTGCACATTGAAAGTATGTGGTGTTTCTTCATGTACGGATAACATAACATGTCACGCAATATTGAACAAGTATGTGATGCAGAATGGTTTGGACAAAAATGCGAGCCAAAATGAGGTGGGGAGGAAAGGGTAAGTATAAACAGCTACAGAACAGCGACTCTGAGGTTTGTTATTATGCGAAAGGCAACTATATTTCCTAATACCTTTTGAATTAGTAAGACCTACATTTGATTCCATGTTCTAGCTCTTGGCAATTAGTGAGAAAAATTTGCAATAGTGAAGGATGGTGAATATTCTCTTATGAATGGAGCAGTCAATAATTGATTTTGCATTTGCTGAAGGAATTTGTACCACTGGGTATTACACAACTGGGTCTACCTGAGCAGGCCTAGTAGGAGCACAAGCCTTCAGCTCTTGCATGGGTTGACCAGCAGGAAAGTCAGCATAATATTGGCACTGCAGACTGGCCCTTTCTGTGAGTAATTGCTGATGTATTTGGCACAACCTGTAATATGTTCCTTTCCCACTGACTGAAGAGCTCCAGGGTCTGCTGTAGAACAGCAGTCCAAAGACAACAACACCTTTTGTGAGCAGCCTCTTTATGGGCGGCCTGTATGAAGCAGCACTTAAAAGACTGGACCTCAGGAAGAAGGCAATGGCTTTGGTCTGACAGTAGAGCCTGGGACACGCAGTGCTCCTTCCTCTTCCACCAAAGGATGCACAGGAAAGCATCCTGGAAGAGGGAATCTTCCATAGCTGGGCAGGAGGAGCAACTCATTCTGTGTCCCAGTGAAAGGCCTATTTTGCAGCACGTTTCTGAGTAACTAAAAGTAGAAAGAAAAATACAATGGATGTTGTCTTATTGACTCCTGTGATGAGGTGATAACATAGTCATGCTGTTCTTCAAATTCATTGAAGGAAACAAAACATGTCCTCTCAGATACTAGAGGGCTCATCMATTGGACAGACAATATCTCTTTTGTATGATGGCAGTGGAAAATCACATTTTTAAGAGACAAGATTGAAAAACAGACAGTTTGATGGGAAATGGTTCAGGAAGGCTTGTTGTGCAGAAGAAGGAATAGAGGCTGCTGGAAGTGTGCCACCCAGTGTTTTATACTTGTACATTTAATTGACTAGACCAAATAAACATCTTCTGTAATTGTTCATTCCTTTTTTGTTTAAATGGCCAGGATATATTAAAAGGCTGGATTCCATATGCATATGTTTCAGTGATAATATTASCTATCAGCTCTGTCTCAAAAGTGTCCAAGATCACTGCAAATTTGTTAATTGTGTCTCTTATCATCTGTAGCTGAATCTCAGCTGCATGTGTGACCCAGGTGGATTTGCTCAGCAATACAGAACATACCAGGACAGAATTTATACAGCGATGACTACTGCAGGCTAGAATTATCTTAAGCAGAGTTGTTACCAAGCATTTTGATAAAATATTTTAGCCAGGTAAAAACATTGATTCAATTAAATCAAAATATTCAGGTAGCCCAGAAAAGTTATAAAAGGAAAAAAACATAGTAATGCTTTGTCTTGTTTATTCCACACACTCTTAAGTTTCTCCTTCTCATTTTATTTTATTTTATTTTATTTTATTTTATTTTATTTTATTTTATTTTATTTTATTTTATTTTATTTTATTTTATTTTATTTTATTTTATTTTGTCTGGTAATGGGACTCTGTGGAACGGAACCTTTTGCAAGTTGCTGTGCCAGATTTTTGCAGAGTATCTTGGGCAGGTCTCTTCATTTCCATTTCATTTTGCCGTTCTATGGCTGATACATATTGTTATTTAAATGAATGCCTTTGAACTCAGATTTTACTAATGCAAATGTGTGCTGCTTTCCTGTTGAATTAAAACCATCAATACTTCTTTTTCTCTGTGAAAAGTGGTGTGAAAAGTAATATTCTCAGGGCTAAAGGTGAGTTGGGAGGTTACTTTTCTGTGAATTTTAGCTAAAAAAAGGGAGACACATACAATGGTGAAGTATCAAAATATTGGCTTAATCTTCCTTCTACCCAAGATATGATTAAAGCAGTTTTGTATATTTTAAAGAACAGCTGATACAGGGAAGGTGCCAAGACATGGCAGACCAGTCACACTCCCTCAAGGCATTCTGCACAAGCTGCTTAGGCGACTGCACACAGAAGTGCCTCCAGCAGTCTTAAGGTGCTCTATACCATCCTTCYTTTTGAAGGTTATGACTCATTTTAGTTTGAAAGTAGTTGTCCTCTCATTTTTAATTTTTTGGAAGCTGTCTATGAGGAACCATAGGGTGAACTTACAGAACATTTTGGAAGAAAGTAACAGGGAAGAAGGTAAAAAATAAAATATCTTTAGTTTCCTTTAGAGTATACTGCATTCTTGTCTTCAGGCTTTTCTTTTAACTATAACGTATAGAAATGCGGTTTTAAAAAAATTTGGTGAATGTGGTCCGGTAATCACATGCCTCCTGGAGCAGGAACTGTCTGCTCATTAAATATTGCAAGATATGAAAAACAGCAGATCCTATGCTCCCAGCACCAAAAGGGTTGCTAATACCTGAGTTGCATCCATCCCTGATCTCTGCCAGACCAGGAGGCTGGACTGTCTCACCCCTTCTCCCATTGGACAAGCATTCATCTTGCAGCAAAAAGCGCCAAGTCCATGCCCAGTAGCACCCATGCCAGCAGTATTAGCAAACAGACCTCAGAGACTGAGCTCCCCTTTTAATCACAGAAGTTGTTGTTTTCTCTCAGTGTCAGTCCAGACCAGCCTTTTATGCATGTTATTCCTGGACTAAAGAAAACTTGAAGCACGGCTTGCTCTGCAATACCAAATTTATGGATGAGGAGACAACTTCAGCCTGCCAGGTGATAATTTGGCACCCTTATGACAGTGTTAAAATCCTTACAGCTGTAAATATTTATTGGATATTAAATATACTCCAGCTAACACATTACCATATGAATAAATCTAACCTTAAATAAAACATGTGCTCTCCATCTTTTATTCAGTTTATAAAATTCTTGATTCTTGCTCTGCACACTCTCAGCTTAATACAGCTCTTCCAAAGTACAGCAATCTGTGCTGTGCCTTAGTTTTTTTTTTCTAATGCAACGTTTTGCTTCTTGTATTTCACCTCTTACAGCTTTTACAAAGTTTTTATTTGATAGGACAAGCACAGTGAGGGCATTAGGACCAAGAGAAAGACGCACACATTGCTCTGTATTATGTCTGGCAAAGTGCTTCCTGACTGAGTGCCGTAGTTATGTGTGAAACAAAGTCAGGGACCGACTACTTCTCATCTGTTGATCACAGTTAAGTTGAAGCCTCTGAACGGGGGAGAGCTGTCAGATCTGCTTTCAGAGATACAGCGCTTCAATCCAGGCAGCAATTGGAAACTTTGAAGAAGCAGGATCTACTCCAGAAAGAAACTATGAGAAACAGCATTTCTTTCAACTTAGAATTTTAAAAGGGGGAAAAAAATCAAAGCTTTAGTTACTCTTTTAATCARCAAAGCATGCACTTTCCTAACTAAGCTGGGACTCCGTATAATAAAGGATCTACTTTATCTCACTGGATCCATGCTACGTTTTACTACAGTAAGTACAGTATTAATAGGAATGTTATAATTTTTTTTCTTTCTGCAAATAGAGAGGGAAGCATGAAATGGCATCAGTGAAATGTGAGGGGAACAAAAAAAATCCTCTTGGCAGACAGTGAAAACCAGGGCTTTTGTGCAACCCGAGGACTGGAATCTGAGGAAGATCGAAGTGATATTTAACATGACCATCTGTATCATTTTGTCATCAACAGTATGTTCTTGAGGAAGAAGTGCAGATATGGATCACGTAAGCTGCAGTTTCTCTTGTTATTTCTGATGCTGGGTTTTTTGCTACTGATGGTTACAACGCTGAATCCACCACCCAGCAACCAGAGCAAGGAAGGGACTTTCCAGCCTGTGGAGTTCAACCCCCGGGAAGGGTATCAGGTGGACTTTGTGGAGACCCAAGAGATGCTGGAGACCCAGGAGGAGAGCCAGCAGTATTACCCTTTGGATGGTTTATCGCCTTTCATCTCCCTGCGGGAGGATGAGTTGATCATGGCCGTCGTGTCGCCCACCGGCAAAAGGAACCACAGCAAGGCCAGGAAGGGCTATCGCGTGGTGAAGCAGCCGAGCAGGCGGCCGGAGGGGAAGGCAGAGGGGGACCCCGAGTCCCGGCCGCTGTCCCTTCCCCTACAGGACGGACAAGCGGCTGCTGAGGGGGAGCGGCCGCTCGGCCTGGAAACCCACGGCTTTAACGAGGCGCTCAGCGAGCGGATCGCGCTGCGCAGGGACCTGCCTGAGGTACGACACCCGTTGTAAGTAAAACACCCTATTTCACTTCTGGGGGAAAACCTGCCTCTTTCCCCGCCGCCGCACTCCCCCTCCGCACCTCTCCTCTTAGAGACCCCGCGTCTTTCCTATCGAACTCCCCACTCCGGGTCCGGGAGAGCGCTTTTCCCCGCGCTGCGTGGGGAACACCCCCGGTTCCTCATAGCAAGGGAACGTTCCAGCCTCCTTCGGGAGATGGTTTAATCCCTCAGGAGCCGGCGGGCGGYAAAGGTGGAGAAGGCACGGGGTGGGAGGGGGCAGCTGGGGCTCTCTGGGTGAGCGGAGCAGAGCGCGGTGGCGGTGCCGATGTCGCGCTGCTGCGGCTCCTCCGCGCCCCGCCCGCCCCGGCCCGACCCGGCTCCGCCGCGCCCTCAGGCACAGCGGCCGGCAGCGCCCCCTACCGGCGCCCGCGACACGGCAGGTGCCGGGGGCCGCTGGGCTGGCCGCGCTCCTGGCTTTGCTCTTCTCTGTCCCTCCGTCTGTGCCTCCGTCTGTCCCTCCGTCTGTCCTTCTGTCTGTCCCTCCGCCTGTCCCTCCGTCTGTCCGGCGGCTGGACTGCGTAGGGGAAGGGAATCTGCGCCGGCCTGGCAAGCGGGAGAGGTGGCGCCCCTCCTCGGCCAGGCCCTATCTCAGCCCACCTGTCAGATCTATGGGGTCACTGGGCTTATAAAGCGATAAACGAGTCAATAGTCGGAGCTTTCATCTTTTCCAGAATAAAAATGACTCCATGGTCACTCCTAAAAGTGGAGCTGGTTCTGCCCTGGTCTGGCCTCACTTTAACTGTCRTKTGCAGTTTWTGGCACCACAATATAAGAAAGAGATAAAGCAATTAAAGATCGACCGGGAAGGGCAGCAAAGATGGCAATGGGTTTGGAGGGGAAGCTGTATGAAGAGGGGCTGAGCTCACTTGGTTTGTTCAGCCTGGAGGATACGAGGGAAGGCCTCATTCCAGTCTAAGGGCTCCTCACAAGGGGAGGAGAAGGGGCAGGCACTGATCTCTGTGGTAACCAGTGACAGGACCAAAGGCAATGGCCTGAAATTGTGTCACGGGAGGTTTAGGTTGAATATTAGAAAGAGGTTTCTCACCCAGAGGATGTCTGAGCACTGGAACAGGCTCCCCAGGGAAGTGATCACAGCACTAAGACTGACAGTGCAAGGAGCATTTGGACAATGCTCTCGGGCAAATGGTGTGACCCTTAGGGTGTCCTGTGCAGGGCTGGGAGTTGGACTCAATGATGCTTGGGGGTCCTTCCAACACTGAATATCCTGTGATTTTGTGGTAAGTATTGAAAGGAAACTCCGGGGAGGAAGGAAGGTGGAGATTGGTGTGTCTGACCAGATCTGCCAACACCCCCATATCTGTCAGCAGTCAGGGTGTAAGTCGCTGCCAAAAAAAATGTTGCATTTGAAGCCCCAGATGTTACATATGAAGTCTGAGAGCCAGCTGCCCCAGCAGCCCAGGAAGGGCAGCTCATCACACTCCTTAAAAAGGGTCTGAGGTGTGTCTRCTATCAAGCTGCCCCAGGGAAAGTTCAGACATTAAGACATGGACATTAAGAGGAATTTCTTCACAGAAAGGGCAATTAAACATTGGAATGAAAWGTTCAAGGAGGTGTGTGGTTGYTGTWCCTGGAGGTGTTTAAGGAAACACTGGATGTGGCATGTAGTGCTGTGGTCTTGTTGACCAGGTGATGATTAGTCAAAGATTACACTTGATGATCTCAGTGGTCTTTTCCAACCKAATTGATTCTGTGATAKTCTTCCSTGCCCAGGCGAGAGGGAAAGGGATGTGAGTGGTGTCTTGCCTCCTGTAACAAAAATTATTGTAGTTTTCATGGTGGAAAGATGCACCAGAAAACATTTTAAGTAAAACACAGAAAWTTTTTTTTTCTAGTGTTCATTTTCACATGTTTAAAGACAGCTGGCAGCTCTAAATTAAGAGTACAGTCTCAAAGAAAGAGAAATGAAACAGTGTTTTCTGTACTTACTAACTAGGTTCAATGTTAATTTTGTTAACTCCATTAAATAATGACATGCTGATATTATTTCAGTTACTTTTTGGCATGCTTCACTGCTAACTCTTTGAACTATGCACTGTTCAAAGGAAGAATGRCTACCCTGGTTTACTGCCTGTGATGTAAGCCAAAAACCAGTTTTACTTCGGCAGCTGAAGGGCCATCCAACAAGAGACAGCTTTACTAAATACTAATCTTGGTAAGATTTAARCCATGGTCTCAGAGTTCTTGGATGGATTTTGCTGTGTAACTAGTTTRCAGCCTAAAGAGCTCTCCCCATCATAACTTAAAGAGCCCAGGCTGAAACCCCAGGTCTCAACATCTGAGCTGATCTCAATCCAGATCATAAACCTGCAGCAGAGGTATATGTCTAAGCCAGACCTGTCATTTATGGCACAACACACAAACCACAATGATAATTTGTAGGTATAATTTACTCTGGTGRCCTGGCTCACAACTGTGTCAGTCCAGTTTTGCCGCAGTATAAAATGAGAGCGTCCAGATTGTCTGTGTCTCTTTGGTTTGAATCATGTTGTTCATCTCAATGTCTATTGTTATTTAATTAGAGGAAACCCAACCAGTTAGAGATGTTACAGTGAGTTACCTCCATGGACTCAGTCTYAGACCTCATTTCACTTGAAATTGGATGGCAAATACTTCACATCAGAAGAGGCTCATCCTCTGAGGTACCTTCATCCCTCAAAGTGCTTTCTCCTGCTATCAGTTGGTCCAGCTGGGACTGACACTCCTGGGACACCTGAATTGAGCCTTCCATTGTGACTTTTATGATGGGGGTTCTRCTCAAAAGAAAGGTCTATTTTCCTCTCTTGGGTTTGAGTGTCAAATGTATCCTGGCAAAAGAAACTCACRAGGCATCTACAAAGGTTTTAAGTTTCATAACAAAAGCATAGCTTCCACAGGAGTGCTGTTTGGAGCTGAATCTCAATGAAACATTTCCCTGAAGGTGAGTGGGAGTCCCTGTCAGCTATGCCYTTCCCTTGTCAGAATTGCTCTCTGTTCATTGCTGCATAAGACAATTCCTTGTTTTTCACAAATTAGATTAAATCACTATGTCTYGTATCAGTCACAGCCCTGGACAGTCTATGAAACTGCTTCAAATTACAGGGAAATTATTTTTCTATACCAGCACCCTTCTGCATTTTTCCAAAGATTAGATATCTATATTGCAAGTCTTTTCCAATCTCCATGGCAACTAAGCACTCACCACCAAGGTTATGTATTCAAGTWCAGTTATTTTCAATTCTTTCCCAATTAAAATTGCACAACAGCCTTATTTTCTTGCTATAACCACAGTACTAGCAACTGGGTGCTAATAGCTATAGAATGTTTCTGGTTAGAAGCTGCCTGGTAGTAAAAGGACTGCATCAGATCTTCACTTTTTTTAATTACCTTGAGATTCTTCTGCTTGAAAATACTCACTTCCAAGTCATGAGGGTATTCTTTTCTTGATCCTGCTGAAAATGGAAACAATCATTCTAGGTGTAATTGGTAGGTAACAACATTATTGATTACACAAAAGTAGTAAACCAAGGACAACATAGATTAATTACAATGTAAAAATCATCAAGAAATTTGCTTGTCTGTGCAACAAAAAATAATGTGAATTATTGAAAAATATAATTCTAATTATTCTAATTCTATAATTATTAAAATTGTGCTCATTTWAAATTTATATTCCCAGAAGTGTATCTGTAGCAACCATTTCTGTGTATTTGTAATTAAATCATTCAGCCTATGGATTCTTTTGRGTGATTAGCAGCTTTGTGTCTGGATGGTGTTTAGCATTGTAGGGCCTCAGTCCATGAATGGAAGCACTAAGTAAAATGCTAATAAACATAGAAATACTAAAATTATATCCCTTACATGAGTTTCTGCTGAGTAGTCAATTGTTTAGCAACCACTGTAAAACCTGTATAATGATTTACTTGGCAATACAAAAAATGCTGGAATAACAATGGGCCATATTCAGCCAATTGTGTAATTCCTTGAAGAAGTTCTTGCTGCTGGAGATTAAATGAGTTAGGACACTGAATGACTATTACTTGGGAAATGAAAAGATTTTAAAATGTGCTTTCTAATGTAAGCAAAGCACATATATAGACATAGTCTTTGCATATCTGCCATGGGCATTTGAAGGCATTTCGTGGAAAATGTGCATTCTCACACCAGAATAGATGTTTTTTTGTATGCAGTTTGTGTGAAGGTGAATGGGAAGTGGTTTTCATCTTTAAATGTTTGAGTTACTGTAGTGGTTTAACAMCAGCTGGGAATTAAACTTCCCCCTCTTCCCCTTTGGTGAGGGAGGAACAATGGAGAGACTATGGGTTGAGATAACAATTTACTRAACACAAACAGTAAYGGAGAAAGTAACACACMGTGACAGYAGCAATATTAATAACAGAAGTATACAAAAAGAGAAGRTGCTTTACACACAAAAGRTGTTCYCCACCTTSACTTAGTTCCGCATGGCCACTAAGACAAAGACAAGATGGTGGGGGAGAGTTCTAATAGGTCAGCAATGACAGTGGTTATCCCTGAGAGAAAGACAAGGTGGTGGGTGCTCTCCTTACCCAGTGCCACATGGCCTCCTGAGACAAAGACAAGATGGAAGGCTCTCCCTGCAGCCGGTGTTCCCCAAGCCCAAGACAATAAAAAACAAAAACCCCCCAAATTGGATTATCCACATTGCRCCACACTTCCGGACTGCTCTGCTGGTTCAATTGCACACTGACTGCCAGCTGGGAGCCTCATTCAGCAGTGGTTGGTTTTCACTGGAAATAGCAACCTGTACAAACTTTATAATGAAAATACATTTTCTTTCTTAAATGTGTCTGTATTTGAATTCATGGTCCATGTAAGGATCCATGTCTCTCCTRTACAGAACTGAGATGTTAGCTTCATTCATTAGGATCTTGGTCAGGTAATCCACAAGTGCACTGATCTGCTTTGCAGATGAGTTMTTTTATTCTTTAGTCCTTAATGGTATTGCATTTGTTTGCTCTTTTCTCTGTTACTTGAGAAAATGTGGAAATTGTTGAAGGTTGACTGACCTGCTTTATCCCTCTCTCTACTCTAATTGTCTTCAGTATTTCTTTGCCTTCTGGACCATTTCTGTTTGAGTTGTTTTTTGAGACAGCCAGAGAAGAAAAAAACTTATCCCAGAACACAGAAAAGCTTTCCTCTTTTTGAATTTTAATTTTGATAGTGCCATTCCTGTATTTTCACTTCATATTCCAGTTTTGGACACMTTAGTACTTCCTTTTCTTGGAAGTGGGCTGAGATCTTAAACTGCTTTCCACCCCTGAAAATTTAGGTGTTGCTTGTAACTCTGCTCTGAGACAAAAGGCAGTCATTTGTACCAGTGTTTCCAGTGTCTTCCTCATTTGATCCCATGCAGGTGCCTACAGCAAAAATATGACTCCARTCTGCCTACTGCCAGTATCATCATCTGTTTCCATGACGAAGCCTGGTCTACTCTGCTGAGAACGGTACACAGCATTATGGATACAGCCCCAAAGGYCTTCCTCAAGGATATCATCCTAGTCGACGATCTCAGCCAGCAAGGTAGCTCCCATTTCTCTGTATGTGAGTTCTTTTTTCCAAAACACCAGGGGAGGAACTGTCCTCCTCCAAGAAGTGTGTGAGGAGAGTAGAAGGCAAASAGGTCTCTCAGGAAGTGAGCTAATCAAATCCCAGAGCTGGTTACCAGGTTTCACTCTTCCATCTCTAGAATTTGGTGTAGCCTTTCATTTYTGGAATATGTTTCTTTCTCTTCCCACCACTCCCATCCCCCATCATTTACAACCACTCTGAACTTTCCTACTTTAAAATAAGATCATAGTATGCAAATATTAGGATTCCCACTGGACCAGATCTGCTGTCATAATTCCCAGACCTGGATTTTGGCTGAAGCATAGAGTGGAAAAGTCCAYGTTGCTAAAGTAATCCAAAGTGCTTGGGAAAGCCAAACACCTGTAGTATCTCACTCTGATCTGTGTATTTTATGAGATGATGAGAGCATCCACCTTYTGCTGAAAACAGGAGAGGAGGCTATTAAGATTCCCACAGGAATAGCTTCACACCTTGTGAATCTCAGTTTCCATTAGTCTCTACTTCCCTTTGACATTATGCTGTTGTAGAAATATTTGGAACATGGCCTACTTTAAAACAAATGCCCCTGAAACATTTTACCAGCAAGAAGTAACATCTCTTACTACCCATTTCTTTTCTATAACAGCTTGAATCAAAGCTAAAACATTTAAATGACCCTTCTGTTTCTGACAGGACCCCTGAAGTCAGCTCTGAGTGAATACATCTCTAAACTGGATGGTGTGAAGCTCATCCGGAGCAACAAGAGGCTTGGAGTCATCCGAGGTCGGATGCTGGGAGCTGCACGGGCTACTGGTGATGTGCTCATCTTCATGGATTCRCACTGCGAGTGTCAGAAGGGCTGGCTGGAGCCCCTCCTGGCCAGGCTCTCCAGCAACCGGTAACTACCCCTGGATATGCTAATTTCTGCTGAAAGGGTTGTACTTGAGAAGTGTTGGGTAGTTTTTTTAATTCTCCCTTGGCCAACCTCTTGCTTCTGGTCACATTCCTTTTATTTTCYACATTATCATCATATTTATCACTCTGAGATGTGAGAAGCAGGATAGGTCTCAAAGCTGGTAACCCCCACTTTACACCCAGAGTAAATTTCAAAATTTGTATCCAGTTAGAGCTTTAAGAAGACTTCCTGGTGGTCTGAATTTAAAAGTTTTCAGTCTCAACTTGTTTGTAAATTGGCAAACATCTCTCAGAGAAAACTACGGCAAGGCTCCAGTATTTTTAATTTTTAACTGTCTCAGTGATGAAGCCAAGAATAAAATACTTTGCCTTCCTGAGCCAGTTTGGCTATGKACCAACATCACCTTTTGGCCACCATTTCTCTTCCACAGAAAAAAAACCAGATTTCCTGGCCAGCCTAGACAGTTCCAGCTAACCACAGGTACTTCTACTGACACCAGTGTGACAGAGGGAGATTCATATTTCTGAGTATTTCATGTTTAGGGTGGTTCTTGGGCCTACCCTCTAATGTACAGCTGAGCTCATCTATGCAGTCCCTAAGTCCTTTGAAGATATTAAAACCACTGCAAATGTTTCTAGATTTACATGTCAGTAAGTCCTTCATTAAAGGGACTTTCTGAAGGAAAAAATTATACTTTTACTTGTCACTTGGAAAAAAGTTAATTGCTAGAGGAGATAAAATTWAAAAAGTCTTTAAAACTCTTACTAGACTGTTAAGTAGTCACACTAAACACTTTCAAAGATTGTCCCAGGCACTGGAAGAAGCTGCTTTTATGGCTTACTATGTTTGCTTGTATGAGAATTAATGTAAGCTTTTAGAAAGTATTACATCATTCAAATGAAAACATTAATACTGAAAGCAAGAGTAATGCTGCCCTAGAATGTCAGGGATATTCTTTGCAAAGAGGTCCTCCTTGGAAAAGCAGATTATATCTTGTTTGCTGACTAACTAGATGGTTTATCATGAATAAACGTCATGATTCTTCTGCCTTGAGCTATGGTCTATTTTTGACGTTCAAGCAGATCTACTGTGTATATCACAGTAGTCTTTATTCAAGGGTGTTGAAACTGCTGAAATTAAGAGTTACAAAAAATCTCAGGGGAGAGGTGTAGTGAAGGGAGAATGAAAACAGCAAGAGAGAAGTTAGGATCCCACCACCCCACAAATGTCAAAAATTCACTGTCAAAAATGATTACTGCTGAGGGAATGCAAAGCCTCCAATTCTGCTGTTGTTCAGGATTCTCACCAGGGGGTGAGAAAGGATTTCTCTTCCCCTATAGGGCCCATATGCTCATTCATTCTTCCAGGAGAGCAGAATTTAACACTGAATTAACTAATGTCTAATTGGATTAATGAAGAAAGGGTAAAAAACTGTTTGGATAATAGTATGAGCTAAGCTATCCCTTTCTGTATGCTAAATCAGTCCCTGTGTCTGACCCTCGAAGCTTTGTCACTGCTAGTGTGGAGAACCTGTGACATTCTCCATTGTGTAGGGAAGAGGAGCTCTAAAGCACGAGGCAATCACCTTCCCTTTCTGTCCCTCTTTTTCGATCTGAAGAATGGTGATAATAACACTGACCTGATAAAAAAAAGTTAATTCCTGTTTTTTTGTAAATTCCTTCTAATGCTTGCATGGAGATCACCATGGAAATATAAAGCATTAGCATAGCCAACTTGGCTTCATTTAGCAGTTGAGGAGCTGTTAAATTGAATCATGTGCACTCCCTGAGACTACCCAAGTGAGGAAAGCACAGTAAAAAGAAGCTGAGAGTGACTGGTGAAATATCCATTCTTCCTCTTCTTAATGTACTATCAAGCTGTAACTCATGCACTTCTCTGGAGAGACYGGATGGGAAATTACTTAATCACTTGAAGTGAGTGAATTGTTTGCTGGCAAGGAAAAATGCAGCCTTTCAAAGCTCAAAACTTAATTGAGCTGCAGAGAGGTTTTCACTTTGAAAATTGTGATTAAACCTAATTTTCTAGACTCCTGATCRGAGTTGTCACTATTGTGAGCTATCTTGAGTGATGCTAAAAGATCCTTGCCCATACTGAGATCTCACTGTGAGCTGAGCATATGCACAGCAAGAGAGGTAGACCCTGTTCTTGGTAGCCTGTAGTGATGACAGATAGGACAAATATGAGAAGAATTATCCCAGTTTTACAGGTATATAAATATTTATACAGAAATACTTGACAGATATTTGACTTGGTCTAGGTAATGACATTTCATCTCCCTACATGATGGGTTTATTCACTAACCCAATCTAATTTATTTTTCCTGAGAAAAGTAWGAAGTCATTCTAAAATCATTGGACATGCACTTATGGGCACCTTGATTTGGACTAGTYCTGTGAACCATGCCTAACAATTTGACTGGGAAGCTGTGCATCAGCTTAGTATATTACCTAGAGAATGGTTCRATGGTTTCTAAAGCATTCCTTGACATTTTGATTATTCAAGGATGAATACCGTAGGTACCTGGGCAATATTAGAGAACTACATGAGATGCCCCACAGATCATTTCATTTGACAACTGTTTGTGTTCCAGGCTAATTCCTGGTGAGTGCCATGGTGCATAGCAATGCAGCTGTGCTGCTATTACAGTAATCTTTSGAAGGGTTTGCCTTTTCCAGGAGAGTGCAGAGCTGCTATTTTTCATTCCATCCAAAGGTAGTGAAAGGCAGAAGGTGCATATAATGAACTGTGCCATGAAGCCTTTAAAATTTTGTTCCTTTGATCTAAAAACAGTGTCCACTGTGCTGAAGCAGGATGATTTAAAAACAAAAACATATTTTCTTTGAATACTGCATGAAAGCAAAATGAACCTAGAYTATATATTTGACAAGGAATTCCACCTCTAAAAGAGGCCTGGGCACCATAACTATGGACAGAGGGTGGTTTGCAGAGTGGTAGCTGGCCCTTAGGACTTTTCCTCTGCTCCTCATTGCTAGGGCTGTTTCCCTCTGTGCTGAAGCACTGCCTATACCACAGCTCAAATATTAGATTAGGAAACAAAAACCTGTTATATAATTTGAAAAAAGACATCTGGTTTCTGAAATTTAAAGTACCTCTACTTAGCACTGTGATTCTAGGTCACTAATCTTTMATGAAAATGCTGATAAACAGAATAAGAAATTAGCATAGCAGTGGAAAAGTATTTCATCATCWGTGTGCTTCCATTCAGGAATAAATGGAAGTGTCTGCATATAGATACAAGAATAGAAAGAGTCYTACTGTCCAGAAATTTTCTGTGTGGTTCCGATTTTATGGTAATACACAAGAGAGAAGGGAAATATTTTGCAATGAAGATGAAMAGCTTCTTCATCTCTTTTATTCTGATTCCCCACTTTTCAGTGGCCCATATCCCAGATCTTTGAGCTACCTAATACATAAGCCATCTGTTTTCTAACTTCTCACAAGTTTGGGGAAACATGATGTTATCCATTCAGARCCCACACAACCCCAGCATCTGAGCATGTAATTCTATGCTGCTCTCCCTGTTTTGAAAGCCTTCGATACACTTCACATGTAACAGCCTGCTTCCTGGGATCTCTGTGTTTGCTTGGTCCTTTTATATCCCTTGTTTGTCAATAACACTAATTTCAAATTCAGTAAATGTTCTGCATTTACATGGTAGGTTATGGGAAGATAAGAAATCTCTTTACGATCTTTCACAGTTGATCAAGATCAGAAGGTGACATATTTTAAAGAAGTTGAGGTGAAGAAAAGAAAGATGAGAGTCTAAAGCCAAAACTGAATTACTGCTGAACCTGGGAGCAGTGAAGATTTAGGCATAATTCATGGCTCAGTGCCCTGACAGTCCAGTGTTAAAAGGTGTTGATTAGCTCTACASATTTTGTTACACTACATGCAAATGTTAATATCTTAGCCAAAAAGAAAGATTMAAAAAATATTCTTTTTTAATAAAGAATTCCCAAAGCATTCCCTTAGCAMTCTGCTTTGCAGACATTTCCTTAGTTCTTAGCATATGAATAGTCCATCCATTCAAGTGGAATATTCCTATGCCCTAAATTAGTCTTGAGATGGTCTGTAAGGCAGTATTTAAGCAATTCTTTATAACATAGCTTTGCCATTCCTGATTACTTCATTTTATCTTCTTATTAACCCCATCTAATTTCAAGTGGTTTATATTTCTAAGACTTCACTTAGCCAGCAAGATGCTCTCAGTGAAAACACATCATTATGAGGAACCAGCTTGTGTCCTCAGTTACTCACTGAAGTTTTGACTGAGTGCAGAAACAGAGAACCTGGATGACCTGGATTTCTTAGCTATCTAATTTTTGCAAGCTATGATGCACCCTGAAATAGGCTGAGGAGTATATATAATTTTCATGTTTGGGTTTTTTGTGGATTTTTTTCCTTCTTATTTAAAAGAGGATTTAAACAGGTTAAAATCTATTCCCTTCCCAGCAAAAGAAAGTATAAATCTATAAAGAGCCCTTTCAAAAAAAGCRTATCTAAAACTTCAAAACAGATACATTAAGTAAATCTTCCTCTCCCCTTGTTACTTAGTTTAAAATTAGAAAAGAACATCATGTCCATGATGACTGTAAAGGGTCATGGGAAGACATTTCATTTGCAATTGTATTTGGTCRAGAAATCGCAAACCAGGAAATTGTTCTTGTTTGGGTTGTTCTTTTTCATAGAATTGTGACCTTTTGTAGTTTGTGTGAGTTCCAAGCATTTGAAATATTCACAGATTAGTCAAACAGTTCAAAGCCTTGCTGCTAGTTGTATTTGAATTTCCTGTTTTTCCCTTTCCTCGGATTCCACAGAGGAAAATTAGCAGTAGTTTGTCAGTGTGTTTCATTTCAAAGTGCCGAGAAGCTGCTGACTCTCTGCCAGTTAGCCAGTTAAAAACAAGAATAGCTAAGAGCATCTTCCAATTACCTTCTGCTGAAAATTTGCATTTAGAGCTAYACAAATATCAAACCATCACTGAATATGCAGAAAACAGCTATTTCATTTTATAAAAATCACACCAACCAAATAAACAGGTAAAGCATGGCTTGATTAAAATTGAATATTGACCAATTTTCACACAAGTTAAAGTTACTAGATTCCTCTATTTCAGGTCCAAAAGACACTCCCAAGATTCAGTTTTGAGAAGGTCTGTTTCTATTGGTTTCAACAGAGCTACACCATGATTATATTACACTTACACTAGGTGAAGGTCTAGAATTAYCCTTACAAACATACTCTTGAAAACTGTTAATCTTGGCAATCTGAAAATGCTACTGGAGTACTAGCTCTRAAACACAGTTATCATTTTTACTGTATAATTTTGTGGGAAAGGAGATCAGATTTTATTTTGTTCTGGTTTATTGTTGAATTTAGCTAAGATAGACTGTGACCTACCCTACCCTACCCTATTTTCAGCCATCTTAAATACTGGGATTTTCCATGTCATAATTTGCAGATAGATTGCTTAATTGTTTGGTCTCCAAACCATCAGACTCCATTATGTCCTTACAGGTATATTTCTTGAATTAAAATCTTGAAGAATGAATGCCTWATAACAAGAACTGTTAGTGTGGTGCCTACTCTTGTGAGCAATTGTACTCATGCCAGAAGCACCATTGAAGTTTGGGGTTTTATAGTGGCAACAGATTTAAGGTGGCTTCCAAAAAAAGGATAGGTTTTAAGTGGCTGCAATGATATAAAAATGTAGGATAGTCTGAAATGTTTGGATCATTTGATCCAGAATATATCTGAGTGGGTCTGTATTTGCATTSTCTCTCTCTGAACTATTCAGGATCAGTTCAGTTCATGTGGTCTGGTCTGTGTGGTCAAGGTCTTTTGAATGGTTTAGTCTACATTTCCTCTGGCTGCCACCCAAATACGCCCTCCTGATATTTCCCTCTTGACTCTGAGATTGTGWAATAAACTACCCTGGGGTCATTAATTCCTCAGTCCTGTCTGAATGAGAATGGATCAACCAGTGTGGGTTTCAACAAGCAGTGGCAAACTGAGGTGGAAAGTGTGCAACAGCATCTACTCTCCCAACCAGGAAGTTGTCAGGTACTGGAGAATGCAGCAGGCTGTAGAAATTACTGTTACAGTGACCTTTCAGTTTTGAAGTTTAGTCATTTAAAATCCATCTGACCTGTTAGATGGATTTTTCCCAGTATATGAAAGAAAAGTCTGTTTGGGTGAGTCCAGTGGATCACTACCTTTTAGTAACGTGTAGAAGCAGCTAATTTCCTTTGCATGCTKTTAGTAAAGCTTTCAGAAATAAAGGCCCCTGCTAGCTTGAGTGTTAGGTGGTTTCTCCTGTCATGGTTATAAAACTATATCACAGGGATATCATTAGGAGAACCAGGGGAGGTTATCATCTTTATTATTTTTAGTATCACTTCTTTCCATTTCTTCTTGAGTACTGCACAAGGATGACAGCAACTCACTGACTYAATGTATATGCCCACAAATGCTGTATGTGACCATAAAGTTTTCTCACCTATTTTTACAAAAGATGCTTTTTCTAAGAGTGAGTATTATTGCATATTGTAAAGGATGTTTTTACACCTGAGCAGTGAAATAAAATCACTTTTCTATTTTAAATCTTCCTGGCTTTATCTCATCATAGGACAACCTGCTCTCATTAAGAAACAAAACTGAGTCATTTGAAAGCAATCCTCTATACAGTTTATCTCTGTACAATTCACTGGCAAGCAGTAGTCTCTGTTTMTCCATGGGCTTCTAAAATTCTCTGTGAGAAATGTCAACTCTGATGAAACAAACTTTGGAGTTTCCCCCTGCTCTGATAGTAAAAAAAACATTATTCTAATGATTGTAGAGGCAGAGAAGATATGTCAGGATTACATTAACATCACCCAGAGCTACCATCTTCCTCAGCTGRTTCTGGCCTCTGCCATAGAAAAGYACAAATGTCTCACTGCACTGGAGACTTCTGAGATGCCCTTTCTTCACTGATAGTATTATGTTTCAAGCAAATTTCTCTCCTTGCGATTTCCAACCAACATATATCTCTTTAAAAGAAGAGATAAAAATGTCTACATTTTGCTCCCAAATTGACCATTTCATTTCTCTCTCTGTTTTAACAGGAAGTTATTTCCTAGGGACAGAAATGCATCAGAATAATTTCYTACATGGATATTCCTATTCTAGAACATTTTTTTTCCAGTGTACTTTAATCCCTCTTAAATATTACTGATTTTTCTTCAGAGGAACTTCTGTCTATAGACAAGCCTTTGCACTGWGATCAGAGACTATCCTTTGGCATAACAGAGAAGAAATGGATAATGTTATTCTTCAACACTTTTTCCTAGCAGTCCCTAATACMATTTATTTCATACTCTGAAAATTTCCAAATGTGATATATCCTTGACCTGAAAACAAGGAGCACTGCAGACTGTTGTGAACTACCAGTTAATTCCAAGATGATGTGCAAGTACACTGTGAAATACTGTGACTTCTTTGCCATAGGGAAATGTCTAGTACCTCTTCTYAGAYTAATCCAAATTTAACTCAARTTAGAAATGAATTCAAGGATTGCCACTTACAGTGCAATGGGTCCGTTCTTGCTCTTAAAAGTGGGTTCCACACTGTGACAGTGCATTTGCAAGTGCATTCTAAGATTGTGGTAAAATGCAAACAGACACTGGCTTATCAACTCAGTAATACATGTTTTTTTCAAAACAACCAGCAGAACAAACTAAGGATAAGTGCACTCTTCACTGCCCTGAAGTGACAAACTCATGAAATGTTTGTCACATTTCAACTACAGGAAAATCAAAGGATGATAAACTRTGTGAGGCCAAAATCATCTTCTGCTATAAACTTTGCATCCATCCAAAGCCTGTAGCATCAGAGCTTGGGGTCTCTGTGTGAAACAGCTTTAAAGGGATTCTGATGGTTGCCTCATAACAAAATCCTGGGTAGCTTTAAATGGCAATGCAAAGTACAGGCTATCAGTAGATTACTGATCTTTAGATTTATCACTGCACGCTCAGTATTCCCGTGCACTGAGCACCTGAGCTTCTGTCACAGGGAAACTAAGGGCACTCAGCATTTAGAGGAGTGCTTGTTCTTGACAGTGTCAGAGCAGAGAGCTCATTTTTACTAACAGAGCAGTGMACTTAATTTATGCTTTGGTTTTGGAAATAAATTGTATTGTCTTTTTCAGAAACAGTGTTGTCTCCCCAGTCATAGATGTCATAGACTGGAAGACTTTTCAGTACTATCACTCCATGGGCCTGCATCGAGGTGTATTTGATTGGAAATTAGATTTTCATTGGGAACCAGTGCCACAGCATGAAGAGAAGGTACGACAGTCTCCCATCAGCCCTATCAGGTAACAGTCCATCAGACAATATGCCTTGCTCAGCTCAGCATAAAAACTGTACAGTTTGGCTCATTTTGGGTCATCTTCCAGCTAACAAGAGAGAGGTGTGGTTACTTGCACATAGTTAATAATCCTGAAGGGATAGACTTTTTGTTTGTGCTGTTTGTTTTGGCCTTTAGTAATCATCCTAACTAGACTGCAGTCACACTTTCAATGTGACAAGTATTTTTCACACGTTGACAAAGCTAGTGTACAGCCTGACCTGACAAGATGAGGGGGTTTGTAGGGAAAGCAAAAAGCAGATAATACAGACTTAAAAGAGATGTTGTAATCATGATCTGTTTGTGTCTTGTTTTGGATGTATATGTGTGCAATGTTCCCCGCTGTTCTGAATCTTATTTGAAGTCAGCTTTTAGCTCCCTTCTGCAGGCAAACATTAGAATTAGGCTCCAGTTGTTCTTTATTTTGTTATATAATTAATTCATTCAAGCTTATATGGAGCAGTATTTAACCATGTTTTAATACTCTCTCTATTGAAATGGTGGGATTTTCACTCTTTCTGAAATTCCTTATCCTAAACTCAAGGTGTTCATTTCTAAACTGTTTTCTACACAGGAGTCCAGCRGTAGCTGGTGCAGTGGTGGCCATGGATCGACATTACTTCCAAAATACTGGAGCTTATGATTCTGACATGACCATGTGGGGAGCAGAAAACCTGGAGCTGTCTATAAGGGTAAGGATCTAAATTAAAACATCAAGCTATGAAAACTGTGGCAAATTTAAGGAACCTGAGTGAAAAGCAAGAAGATATTTATTTTAAAAGTTAAATGCAGAATATGTCAAGTTACAGAGACTACAACCTTCCCTGCAGAAATCTATCCCCAAGCACCACAGCCTGTCAGGACTGTACAAGAACATGCAGCTGCTGTGAATTAGGAGCATTATGTCAGAAGGTTTGCTGGCTATCACTATCTGCCTGAGGCCTGAGTCACTGCTTTTGGCACCCTCTGAAAGCTGCCTCTTCTATTCTGGCATGTTAACATGCACCAAAGGGAGAGCAGCTTTATTTCTTTGCCAACCTGTAGTTTTAATAGCAAATTGCTTGTATTAAATCCCTCACATTGATTTTTGCTGAATACAAAGAATAACTGATATTAAAAAGCAGTGAAAATTGCAGGCACAAAGGATGTAGTGTCTTTAATGTCCCAGACAAAAGAAAGTGTGCACCCAGGTCTCTCCCCTACTCTGCACTGTTTGTGCTCAGAAGAGCATAAAAGCATATAAATAGCCATACTAGGTCAAATCAGAGTCTGAATGCCCACTATCTTCTCTGTGTCTGTGGAGAAAAATGTATGAAATATATAATAATGCTCATGCTGTTTCCAGGATTTCCTGAGTCAGAGTCTAGACCAAAGGAGCTTCTCATTTTCTGATAAAAGTAATCTAAATAAGGTAATCTCTTTTTGTGCTTTCACCTGTATTTCAGACCTGGCTCTGTGGTGGCTCTGTAGAAATTATCCCATGCTCCAGAGTTGGGCATGTCTATCGAAATCACTTCCCCCATGCTTTCTCCTATGAAGAGGCCATTGTGAGGAACAAAATCCGAATAGCAGAGACCTGGCTGGGCTCATTTAAAGAGAACTTCTACAAACATGACACAGTGGCTTTCTTAATCAGCAAGGTAAAGACATCTGTAGAGGTTTGTTTCTGAGGTTTGTGTTGAGRTAGGTGAAGGGAGTGGAATAGGAGTGGGAGTGTCTGTATGCAGTCAGATGCAGGGGGTAGTCTTTCTATTAAACCTTCCAGTGCAAGTGCTGTCAGATTGGAAGGAGAGAGAGAAACTTGGGCCTAAGTTCAGCCTTGTGCTGAAGTTATCAAACCTTATGGAGTATTACCTCTTCTCCAAATGACTCCTTCTTCARCTTCCCCAACAAGCTGTGGTTTGTTCTTCCACCAATAGTACATGGGGGATTGTGGTGTATCTGAAGTGCCAGCTTGCAGCACTGTGTGTGCCCAAAGGATCCTCCTAGGGGGTTCATTCTTTGTCGCCGAAGGTCTTCCTTATATGGTTTCTGAGGCTTTCAGTATTATTCACAGGTGTTGTGGTAAATTGTAGTGTCTCTGCTACTGAATGGAACATATCTGTGTGGTCTAGTGACAAAAAAGGTGTGCTTTTTTCCTGAACTGACATATCCAGAAATAACTGAACTGAAAAAGTCAGATCTCAAAACACCATTGTTTACAAGTTTTACATTTTCATTAGAAGCATTGCACAGGCACCTGACTAAACATTCTTCCAGAAGTTTGGATTCCCAGCAGTATGTAAGCTAAGTAGACTTGCAGCCAGGTGTGTGGTGTAGCCCTGGCATGCAGCTACACTTGAACCATCTGCAGGTTACACATAATCCAACCACTACAGAGTGGCCATACTTGTTTTTTAAGCCACTGTACAGTGGCAGATCGGGGTGGTCAAGGAATTGTATATCCCTTGTATTACAAACCAGTGGATGTTTGTTTATTGGGWGTCTTGCAGCTGTGTGGAATGTTGTTGATGTAATGTTGTTAATGTTGCTGCAGTTYTCAGGAATTCTCTGGCTCCAGTACCTTTTCTTGTAGTGATATCCTTCCTACAAGGCAGTGGACAAACTTGTGAGCAGTTTTGAATGAAAATGTATTGTCCATTTAAYAATGCCATGCTTTTAAGGAGGAAAAAGATTCACTGAAAGCATTTAGGCAGAGCATGGGTAGGTGCTGTGCTAAGTTTGCCATTCACATTTGTTTTTGCAATTCATAGAATCACAGAATCTAGGTTTGTGTTGGAAGGGACCTTAAAAATCATCTAACTCTAACTCCCTGCTGTGGACAAGGATGCCATTCATTAGCTCAGGTTGTTCAGGGCCCCATTCAGCCTGGCCATGAGAACTTCCATGGTTGGGGCATCCACAACTTCTTTGCGCAACCGGGTCCAGTGCTTCATCACCCTCTGAGTAAAGAATTTCTCCCTAATAACTAACCTAGATCTGCTGTCTTTCAGTTTAAAACCACTGCTCCTTTTTATAAGCCGCCTTTAGGTACCATAAAGCTGCTGTAAAGTCTCCCTAAAGCTTTCACTTCTGTTCAATTTCATCAAGTGATCCCCAGCTTGCTCTTCACTTACAGGGGGAAGGACTTCATTCTGCCTCCCCACTCACTCAGGTGATCTGGGTCTTGGGAGAATGGAGAGCCTGACTGTCATCAAAGAGAGAGGAAAACAACTCATTGACTACCTCAACCTCCTCCATATCAGTCACCACCAGCTCACCCTTGATGGTTATCGGTGGGGACCGGAGTACATTCTCCTTGTCCTTTCTTTTCCAYCAAATGTATTTCTAGAATCCCTTGTTRTGATTCTTCAKGTCCCTTGCCARGTCCTGTTCTAGCTTTGCCTTGGCTTTCCTGACCCTATCCCTACACTTTCCGCAGGTCACCTGTCCCTGCTTCCACTGGCTGTGGATTTTTTTTACTGTGCATTTTTTTTTACTCCTCAGTTTGAAGAGCAGATGCTTGCTCAATCATGYCAGTTTCTGGCCTGCCTTGCTCGARTTCCTATGCAGGGAGGGATAGAGAGCTCTTGCAATGTCAGAAAAGTGGCTTTGAAGAGCTGCCAGATCTGGTCTGCACCTCTGCCCTTGAGGACGGTTTCCATGGGGACCTCCTTCACCAGCCCCTTAAACAGACAGAAGTTTGCTCTTACAGAGTTCAGGGTCTTGACTTTACTCCTCACCAGGCTCGCACTCCTTGATATCACAAACTCCCCAAGGGTTTAGTTGCTAGCTACAGCCAAGGCTGCCACCAATCCCAATGCTTTAATGAGCTCATCTGCATGTGAGCACCAATGGCTCCAGTAACACCTCAGCCCTGCAGGCCTCAGACATTCAGAGCTGGCCATCATCCAGGAAAGCCAGATCCAGCAGGAGCTGCTTTAYAGTGGGGAGAGGAACAGGGCTGCATGTGTGCAGTGCTTTCTCTTGTCACCTAGTCTGACTTTTTTCTGTTTCACTGGTGGATCTGCCTCTCCGGTCAGCCTGCTAATTGTATAGCCTGAGACTATTGTGTTTCCCTTTTCACTCTATTTTCACATCTTTTTAAAAGRTCTTCCCTCCTTGTCTCTGTTGTAGGTTCAAACTCCACTGGCCAGGAGCTTGTCAACTGACTCACTGAAGGGTTACAGCTACTAGACCAAGCCTTTTAAAATGGGCAGTTAGGTCTTTAAATCATTTAATGATTCCCTGAAGGCTCTTCTTGTTAGCTCAGAAGCATTTTTTCTACTAAAAACCACAGTCACCCATGATACAGCTTGCTAGCTGTAAGCAGCATGACCTTTTGCCTGAGTTTATTCTAGCCACAATACTTTTAGTTCTTCTGAGTATGATGTTCCCTCAAATGATCAATTTTATGATCTCAGTGCCCAGCATACCATAACATAAATGGCCCTTTTTCTGTATTCCCTTCTTTCACGGCCGATGTTTTCAGCATGTCAGTGCAGCAGGATGTTATTGAAAAGGCAGAAGCAAGCAATGACATTATTGCCACTYAGCTGCAAACGGCCCTTCAGGGATTTATTGCTCAAAGAGGGTGAGCAGAGCCACCTATGGGCCACTACAGAATTCTCTGTGAGCCTTCACACCCAACACTGCTTATTGATGACAACAAACAGTGGCCTCAGTTTAGGTGGCTTTGTAGCCCTTCTTGGTTTATAGTCTGAATCACATCTTGTGCGGGATGCCTCTGGTATAAGCATTAAACAGATCAATGAGGCTCTTCCTAGCTCTCTACTTCAGCCACCACCTCTTTCGCTCCTTTTCTTGTGTGGTTTGCATATTTAATTTACAAGCACAGTTTCCTTTCAGATTGGTTTACAGGCACAGTGACTTTCTTTGCTATTTACACCATTTATTCGGCATCAGATGAGTGCAACTAGTATGACAAAATCAGTTTTACTGCCATTGCCTCCTTCAGCTGAAGCAGAGTCTCTTGGGAAGCATCTCTTTTTTCGAGGGGAAGCATTTCACTTCTCTCTTTTCCTTTTCCAGGAAAACCTCTAGAGGACAGGTCTGTGGTGTAGAATTGCTACACTTYTTTGTTATGCTTATTGAATCTAAGATTGACACTGAAGTATGAGATTCTCTTTAACATATTGCAGCTGTTGAGCTTTGCCTGTGGAGTTTACAGGGGCTGGGAAACTGTGCCACATGAAATGATTGATCCCTGCCTTTAGAGATTGATACCTCACCTTAGATTTCCAAGGCCCTTCAATTGTCAGTGTTTTCCATGCTGAAAAGTCCTTTTCTTTCTTTCCTATGGATACACAGAAATTGCTGGTCTGAGAAAAAGTTATTTACGGGCAATTCTCTTCTTATGTTGCCAATTTTAACTTTTGACAAAGAAATCCAGACCAGTTTCCTGGAATCCCATCCCAAACTGCATTTTTAAAAATTAGCAACATGAAGGGGGGAGATCTACTGCTGGCAAGAAAGAGGAGAGAGTCTTTTAAGGGTTATTAGATATTTTTCATATTTTCTGACAGATTTAGAAAAGCATTTTGTGTGGTTTTGAAACTGAAGAATTAGGCATGTAAGTGCTTAGTGGTTTTGAGAATCCTGTTAGTGCTAAATACCTCAAATATTCAGACTGTCAGTCCTTTGCAGTGCAGATGCCTGTAGCTACACCAAGGGTTGAAGTAATTTGTCTTTTTTCACAACAGAGTTGCTACCAAAAAAGTTCAGAGTTGATACTGTGTCTTTATAATTCAAGAAAACACAGAAATCAYAKAAATGTTTTGTGCATTTATGGCTGCAAAACACCTTTGTTTATTAGATTTAGTAACTGTCAGATAACAGACAGATAATAGGTGATAGACTATATTTTGGGCTAAATTCTGTCATCATTTATTCCCTCTGATCATAAAGGACTGACAGTAACTGGGTAATTTGGGCTGTTAAAGGCCAGGAAATTGAGTTTTCATCAGCGGGAAAAATTCTGTATTGAATTCTAACACAATTCCACTGACCTTCAGTTCATCAAACTTGGTCCTGACTTTTTAAAATAGAAATATTACAAAGACTGAGTTATCTTGCAATACAACGATAATTTTTAGAGAACATACTTATTTTCACAATGTATGCTACTTCTGAAACACTTCTGTCACAATGCCAGACAGTGGCTGTTTTAGCACAAAGTTTGAGGAAGGCATACTCATAAGATATATGTATCAATATCTATAACATGCAGGATAGAAAAGGTGGTATAAATAATTCCTATGTAGTCATTTTCACTACTAGCATCTCTAACACAAATACACCAGTAATCTTGTTGCCCTTATGCTTTCTCCCTTTCTCCATAAAGGCAGAGAAGCCAGACTGCAGTGAGCGCCTTCAGCTGCAGAAGAGACTTGGCTGTAGGAATTTTGAGTGGTTTGTATCAAATGTGTACCCTGAACTCTCCCAGCCTGGAGACACACCAAGATTCTCTGGCAAGGTAGGACAAAACACACTATAAAAAATGATCATGCTTTTGCATTGTTCACAGACTCCAGTGTCACTTCCATGTCCTGAGTGCTCAATCCAAACAGGCAATGCAACTAGGGTGGAGGAGAAAGAAAAAGACAAAGAGCTGGCCCAAATYCTCATATCAGTGTTGAAAACCAGCCAGGAACTGAACCCAGATTGTTTGACTCAATTCAGTGTCACAGCTCAGAGTATCCTAATGTTAGGTTCTTTAGGTGCCATTAGTAAAGGGAAGAATTGTGACGCCTCATGCAGATGGCAACGGCAGCCAAGAAATCTCTGTGCTGACCCATGTGCACAAAGAGAAAAAAGCATTTATTCATTCCTGCACTTTCCCAAGGTCAGAAGTGGTAGCAATAGTAGTTCCCTGACGGACTGTGTACAGGACGAAATATTCTTAATGTCTGGGGGCTTTAAAACACATAATTGATAATTACAATTMATTAAATATGAATTTATTCCCAGCAGCCTTATTGGGAGTTTCCCCCAACGCTGCAAGGTCTAATAATTAATTCACACTCTACTATCTGCAGCCAGATTTTACTAWGTCCTTTTAATATTTTATCTGCTCTATATTTTCAAAGTTAGCTTGAGAAAAGTGTAAGAACTGAGTGCTGATCACAGGAATTGTCACATGTTTCTTTTCTTCCGGAATATCTTGTGTTCCTTCTGACTACAGTGTCCAGTTAAAGTGCAATTTTTCACTAGTATAAAAATTTTGATAGCTTTCTTTTCATTATCCTAACAGTTAAACCCCCAAGTGGGTGTCTCAAACAAATCTCACTGGGTAACATTGACCCTTGGTGAAACTCTGCCTTTTATATCACATTAGTTTGCAAGATCAAATCTGAAAGAAATAAATAGTGCCTGATTTGTGAACAAATTCATATATCCTAAAGGGATCCAAGCACAAAAATGTTAGCTGAAGGATATTTTGTTTGTATCCAATTGTGGTTTATTTCAGTATAATCTTTGCTTACAGCTTTACAATACTGGTGTTGGCTTCTGTGCAGATTACAGACCTGGAAGAGCCACTGCAGATGGCTCTATTGAGTTCTCCCCTTGCAGTGACAGTCTCACCCAGGTAATGTACATTTTGAGTACTTAGGCACCAGATCTAGGTGATTTAGGCACTTAGGTGCCAGATCTAGGGAACCATGCAGAAGAYAGGCTTTCCAACATGTGCATGGCTGGGTTGACACTAGTGGAAATACTGCTGTATTCAAAATTAGGCATGTGCCAAGGCAGTGATGTCCACTCTTCTACAGCTGAGTGCCACTTGAAAAATGTCAATGTCCCATGTGTCACTAATGCAGATACTCAGACTTTGCTCCAGAAGACATCATTAAGTGCTTATTTGTTTAGTATACTTGGTAGTATCTGGGGAACAGAAAGCCTATGAGTAAAAATACATAACAGTTGCAGAATATTGGGGGTGGATTTCCCCATTAGTGACTAAAACTGAAGATTGASACCTAAACTTCAATCTAAAGCAGGGGGTAAATTCATTTAGACTCCAAAGTTGGCATGGATCCAGCTGAGGGTGAGCTGCAGGCACATTTCAAACTGCAATGTGTGAAGACAGTCAGAAACATCCTTCTGTTCAAATATTTATTGAACTGGAAAATTTTATGACAGGGTGGGTTTATGCTATACATAATCATAGTTCACAAAGCCTTTCCTTAGGTAAATAGTTATGCCAGAATTAGCTAGCAGGGGGGGACTGCTTTGAAGGGTCAAGGCTGTTGGATCTTTGTCACACATGTTTGGGTTACATCTTAACAAACATGTCCAGGAAATTGTTTTTAGAATTAGACTTTAAAAATGAACTGGGATGTCCATCTATCATTGTTCAAACAAACCCTCCCTTTTCCAGCACTTTGAATACAACAGCATGAAGGAAATCCGGCTTGGTTCTGCTCCGCTGCTTTGCTTTGATGTAAGACACGGGAAGGTTATCCCTCAAAATTGTACAAAGGAGATAGACAACAGCAACCAGCACTGGGATGTCCAGGAGGTCAGTAGTGGCTCTGCCATAGGGCAAAGGCAGCCGTGGTGACTGGGGGACACTGGGTGATTTACAGGATTCGTGTGTGAGGAAAAGATGAGGTATTTGAAGGGCAAGTTTCACTTCTGTACCATTTTCACCCAGAAAAATGAGGATGTCTCTTGCCATTTTACACAGTCTATGTGACATTTGGTTTGGAAATACAAACTGCAGAAATCCTACCTAAATACCTATCTCCTTGTTTTAACTGTTCATCTTACTGGCCTTATAGGAATAGAATCAGAATCAGTGGTTGTGAAAATATGAGCAGGCAAATCCTTTCCCATTTCTGTCAGAACAAGGAAGGGTTTGGAAATCCTGGCCCCTCCAAAATGAGAGCCCTTTGTGGAGCTCTTGATGGGAAACATTAAATTTTCTCYTGCACTGTAAGAGAAGAGCAAACTTCCTATTCGAGGAATTCACTGATATTCAGTGAACTTCACCCAGCAGAGCAGGAACTCCTCAACAATACTGAAAAATGTCATGTTCTGTGAGAGCCTGGGAAAACAGTCACTGTAATTGTAGGGATGCAACAATCCWCTGGTTCAGTTCCTRCTGTAATTTGGKTTGATTCYTAAGTGAACCACTGGTCCTTATGMAATGTTGGGGCTTGTAGTACTGAGGTTGATGCTAATGACAACCTGTAGCCATAGGAAAAAAAAACAGTGGTAAAAAAGAATTCTACACCTACCACTCCTGTTAGCTTCAAAAGGAACTACGAATATTCACCATGCTCTGGGCACAAAACTAAATCCAGTCATTGTGTTTGGAGTGTTGCTTAAAAAAAAAAAATTAACAACCAGTCACTACTGGTGATATATTGTATATAAATCTTCTGAAACGTGGCCTARCTTTTACTGGAAATCCCTTACTTTTAATTTGTTCTTTCTTTCCCTTCTTCTCTCATCCTRTAGAATGGAATGATTGTCCATGTCCTTTCTGGCAAATGCATAGAGGCAGCAACGAAGGAAGATGAGAAGGACTTATTTTTGTCTGCATGCAACAAGAATGCAAATCAGGTGTGGCAATTTCAACGTTCCCATGGGCTACGCCAGAGGTGACTGATAGGTTTATGTGGAGGTCAAGTCTCCAAAGTTTAACGTTACTTCTGCTTGGGATTTGAGATGTATTTCCTGCAAGGACAAGAAAGATGTTTGTGTTTGCTGTAGCATGCAGTGAAATCAGGAGGGTCTCTCATTTGAAAGCCTGGCTCCTGGTTAATCCAGCTCTAGCTAAAATTTCTATTTATTCTGTGAAGCAGGGACTAGAGAGACTGTGAGAATCAATAAATTCTGAACCATGCTATTGCAGAAGACAGTTAAGTTTGCCCTTTGAAGGAAACGTGGAAAATTGGCTGCCAGACAGCTTGTCTTCAGCATATTCTGTGACTTCTGAGGATACAGGATAAAAGTGTTTGTGAGACTTTTGAAACTGTAAGAGGAAGCCAGCCAAACCAGGACAGGAGTTCAGTGTTGTTTTACAGTGCMCTCGACTCATATAAAACAAAATAGGTTTTGTATGTATAAAAGTAATAGATGTTTCCACAYGTAATAGTAAAAATTTTGTTTTCCAATTAGCCTGAGCCAAATTTCTACTCTCTGTGAGATTACACARAGCATAAATTGACACTTAATTAGGCACTAAATGCTCTAATTGACTTGGAATACTAAAAGTCCTCAGTGTTTGGCACAGCCTTCCTTAAATCCTTGTCCACAATCTAATTTGGATAGGAGAATGAGACTGAAACATTAACAAWTTTTTTTCTTGTTTGTTTTAATTGTATTTAAGGACAACTCCTCAAGAAACTTGAGGTAGTAAAGAGGGTAACAACTTCTCTGCTTATTTGGGGATAGAAAGAATCGGCAGCATCCATTTGGTTTGTACAGCCATGGGATGAGCTTATTATTATTATTATTACTATTAATATTGCAGTAACAGAAATGCTGGCTGAAAACAGCAAGGAAGGGAAACAGCCAGTTTCAACAGTGGCTGCCTAGGAAGAAAATACTGGTTTGCTTCCATTTGCTTGCAATCTGAGTTAAGCCTTTCAAGCTGTCAGTTTTGGCCAAGATGATCTTGTAGATTCTTGCTTTTGTGGGTCTCCAAGATGATCCTRAAAAGATCAAATTTTCTAAAGAAGCTTCTTCTGTAGAGCCTGCATTGCTGCAGACCTGCTGTCTTTCAAAGGAGTGAATGAGAGACAAGGTTAAGTAAYAAGAATGGTCTCACATAGTATGCACTAGCCAAGCTTCCACTTCAGTATCTCATTAGGGTACTTTCCATTTTGAAGATAAAATCAATAAAGASTACACTTTTCAAGAGCCTGCTAACACAGAAGAACAAAGATTTGGGAGTCTTCGCACATCAGTACCACATCTGATTAATAGTATAAATCAGTCATAATCCTATGTATATATTAAAGGGGAAGGACATCGTTAATGAAACTCAGTTTGGTTTTGAATTCTTTCCAAAAGACAGAAAATTGTAGGTTTTTTTTAAAATGTATAGCACACTGTTTAAAGAAAGGAAGGAGTAACAGAATATTCTGCTCAGAGCCTTCCAGAAACCTGCCTCAGTAAATCRTAACAAATCTGTATCAAGCATATAGATTTGGTTACAAGAGAAGACACGAAGAGCATTCTGTGTTGCATTGTCCAAAAMAACTCCCAGTGTCTAGCTCTGTCCACTTTGAGTGCTGCAGATTCCACACTGTGTTCAGGCATCACTCCAATCATCTTGATTACCACTTATGCTTTCTTTGATAGCATCAGAATCAGTTACTATTTCTGCTGTCTCATTTAAAATTTCTTRTGACATTCTGGAAAATGCTTTAATTTTCAGCTGAGAGGATGATAGCAACCTTTTCCAGAATACCAAGTGATCCCTGACCATTGCCCAAATCYAGGGTGAGAAAAGAGAATTCTTTTAATTGAATAAAAACTGACTAAAATGCTGTTTTAATGACATGTGATTCCTTTATTTTAAATTATGAGTATGCCAGATGTTTAATTATGTATTATTTATTATATTTTGGACACTACACTGGGAATGTAATTCCTTCAGAATTTAGGTTAATGTTAAAAAATGTTTATACAAATATGGTAATTGAACTCAAGTGATATCACAAAGAAGGATGAAAAGATTTTTTTTGTTTAGAGAGGTAATGTTTGGAATTAAATTTCAGAGACATGGACATCTTCCTTTGTACTACTTTTTAACATAATGATAAAAAACTAGAAAGTAAGGTTTGCTGTAGATATCTACAATAGAAAAATGTGTTACCTAACACCTCTTCAAAAATAAAATGAAAATAAATGGTGCATTTAGAAAACAATTTTTACTACACTTATTTCACTTAGTAAAAKAGTAAATGTGTGTTTGGTTTCCAAGGGAACTAAATTCAGAGCATGGGCCTGGAATTTAGCTCCCTGAAGGGAGCTACAAGGTGGTCTAGGAGGTCTCCGTGCCAAGGCAGCCAGGACTGTGAAGCACACTTCCCTCTAATACAAATCTAACTCATTACACACCAAAAAAAAAAAAAACCCCAAAAAACCCCCAAACCCCCCCCCCCCCCCAAAAAAAAAACCAAACTCAAACCCAAACCCAAACCCAAAGGGAAAGCATCTGTCCTTGTGTTTCCTAGTTTTCTTCCTGTATGCCTTTAAAATGGATTGGTCACTTGTACCAATACTGTTTCCTCATTGTGGTCATTTAGACATTGCCCCTGTGGTTATATCCATCAACTAAACCCTTCTCCTCATGGAAYTGGGCTCAACAAATAGGGTGGCTAAGGATGATGGTATGTTTTCCCCATTTTTACCCATTTTTCATGCAATACTAGCAGACAATGATGCTTTGAGCTCCACAAAACATGGAATTACTTTTCAGTATTTAGAAAGGTTAACCTTTCAGGTTCTGCTAATTCCTGGTGACAGGAGAGAAATGTAAGGACAAAATGTTTCATGCAAGAATGAAGCAGTTTAAACTTTGAAGGCTTCCAAAGYGGAGCCTCAGGCAAGAGCAAAGGAATTCCAGTATAACACGAATAAATATCTTACAGTCTAACTGCACCTGTTTCTTTGAATTTCGCAACCCAGGCACAGTGAGTGCTTTGAGCCAAACCCACCCACGAAGCTGAGCTAAAAGGTCAGATTCAAGAACCTTACCTTTCAGTTGACGCTTACTAAACAGCCTGGTTTATTCCTCTCCCAGCTCATGGTAAATGGAAGAAAATAAAGACTTGAGGAATTATTCTAAGTACTTTAAAACTGAGCTCCAGTTGACGCAGTCAGTGTTGGTGTAGGGTTGGGGTTTGTCCTGTTAGGTGAGGTGCCATCACTGACACAGAGAAACAATGGCAGCATTTCTCACACATCTTCTCAGTGTGTTAACCTGAAGTCCAAACAGGGGGAAAGAAGGTTTATCAACCTTCATGCTAAATCCTGTAGCACAGAAATATTGAGGGTATCTCTCAGTCCACATGTAAATGTTTCCAGGTCCTCCTTTGGAGATGTTGAACTGTAATACTGTCTGTTGATGAAAATKCAATAGCTTCCATTACTGATTTCCCCAGGAAGGATGGAGCTATGTTCAGGCATCCAAAACAAGAACAATAGCAGCTGGAAGGTGACATGAGTGAGAGCTTTCAGATTCTGACTTTGTGTTTCATTTTATYTCCAACAGTTTGATTCAAATTGCAAACATTGGAAGAGAGTAAAAAAGGAGTGATTTGCAAATAGGTAACATGTTTTTAAGCTATGAAAACTGCACATGTCTGCCCTGAATAAAGTGTATCAGTGCACAGTGAAACGGATTTTTATTTCCTCCATTGTGTTAAGATTGTTAATGCCTCATTTTCCTCATGCTGAAGCACACCTGGTCTGCAAAGAACCCAGTCGGAAATGTCCAGTGGCAATACCCTAATTTAGCCATCACCTGAGAGTCTTACAGAAATGTACAGGAGGATTTGCCCCCACCAGCATCTTAGAGGGGGCTTGATTTTGCAGACCTTTGCCATAATTTCCATCGGTTTCATTGCAAAGGTCTGAATAAGGACTATAAAAGTAGAGTCCCTGGAAAGCATGAACTCTGGCACATCCTTCAAGCAGCTCACAGCTGCTTATTCACCAGGTGGTTTGGAAGGATGTTTTGGAAAATCAATCTGGCTACATGAGATAGCAGCTGAGTGGTTTTGCTATATTTCTAGCTGCTATTTTTTTTTTTTAATTAGCTATCACTCTTGGGGATTATTATGCTTTRGACACATGGAACAGGATTCACTTCTGTTAACTCGGGCTACAGTAGTCACAACTAAGATAGTGGTCTGGGTTCCTTCTACTGGTGAGCAGAGAACACTTCCAGAGGTCACCAGTCACAAGTATTTGAACACTGTGGGTAAATCACTAGAGAAAGCAAGCATTTCTCTACTGATAAGGGARGGATTCTTGATGATTAATTTAAATGGCATGTATAAATTTTAAACTGGAGTTAAGTGGAAGGAAAATAATCCCAAAGGGTACCCAWGCTAAAATCCCTTCCAGGAGCCCAGCCCCAGTGCCCAGCTCTTCCAATTTGGCTTTAAGCCAGAACAAACTTGCTRCCATCTGCGGTTTCCTCAAATGTGTTTAATCCAACAGCACACTTTTWCAGAACAGCTTCTTTGTTCACAAATTGAGAGACCCCACCATGTAGGATGCTGTGTTACAGCATGATCTGATCCCAAAGGAATAGGAATTTAAATTGTCAGAAGTGTCTCTATAATAATTTGAAGCTGTTAACTCTGGTATTAATGATAAATCTCCTACATCTTTTTGCTGAGTAGGCTGGAGAGCTGCAGCAGAATTTGCACGACATGGAACAGATACAGGTGCCAGGATTGTTTGCAAGGCTCTTCTTCTTCACTTGAACCTAAATTACAGACAGAACAGCCTGAGGGCTGAATGCATTGTTCAGTTTCCAAGTAGCTGCACAACCACCTTTCTTAGAGTCCATGACCTTTGGTAATACTATCACTATATTTATTTACACCAATGGTAATTCTRTGTTCTGAATTGAGAAAAAGGTGAAAGTAATCACTTTTTAAAAAATAAGCATTATATAATAATACTAAATATATTTTAAAATATCTAATCTATTTTGTGCAATTACTCAAAAGATAGCTTCCACATTATTAGTCCCTCAGTCTTACAGACTGATAACTAATAACCTAATAATATCTCTTACATTGTTATAGGCATAAATGAGCTTTAAAGGATTACATCCTTTAGTATTGTATTTTTCATGGTATTTTTAATTCACTTCTTAATACGCTGTTAGGTGTAAACTGGGTTTTGTTACAGTTTCTTTTTTATCATCTAATGTCACAATTACACGAAAAATTTAATTGCAGTTCTGAAAGAAAGTCACTGSTACTTCATGCCAGGAGTTAAGATGGAGAACATCAGATATTTATTTCTGAGTACAAGCCATTGGGAGGCTGCTTCTGCCAATCACCCTTTATACCTAATTATATCTACTTTGGGATTACTACACAAACCAAAAATGGTCAAAAGCTATAGTCCAACCAAAATGTTTAATGKGTAACAGTCTTACAGAGACAATAGGTCATTGCATTAATGTCATCTTCTTTTGCTTTCCCTCTTATTAGCATGCACTTTGTCTGCTTAGAAATCAAGAGCCAAGCAGTGAACAGTTTAATAATCAAAATACTTCAAGCCGGCAGATGCATAAAACTCATGTCAATTAAAAAATAAATCTTGCAGTGAATTTCTCATTGGCCAAGTTGTCTATCTAAACCCCCAGCTTTTTGTTGTCTTAACTAGTTTCTGTATGTGTCATTCTCATAAAAAAACTTATCCATAGTGCCAAGAGCTGCCTTCACCTACAAATCAGTCAGCAAGCCACAGATCCTCGAGGACCCCTTAGTCTGGCTGAGCCCTGATGCTGCCTGAGCTCATGCAGCCCACCTGATGGATCACGGGCTGCCATAGCAAGCTCAGAGACCGTGGCAAAAGCCACATCTTCAGGGCAGTTTGCTGTTGAGTCCTCTGCTTGCAGAATCACAGAATCACAGCATGAACTAGRTTGGAAAAGACCTTTGAGATCATCAAGTCCAACCTATGACCAAACACCTCCTCATCAAGTAAACCCTGGCACTGAGAAGCAAAGCAAACATTCATTTCCTGGTGCAGCAGCCCACGGTCAGTCTGTGGTGTCTGTGTAGATTTGCACACACACAAGCCCAGGAACAGAAGGAAATAACTTTTCGTTTTACATAAACAATGAACGGTTTCAGCTCCAGCTCCTGCTGTTGGAATGACCTTCTGCGTGCAGCCCGTGACAGAACTCTTAAGATTCTCTAGTGCCAAGAACAAYTCTTAAATCAGTGATGAGAGGAAAGGGTGAAACAAAATAGGTCTTGACGCTGTAAAATAACTTGATAAGCAAAATAAGAACAATGAGACCATCATTTGCTAATTACAAGAAGATGTCTGTCTTTTCTTAAAAATATACAATTTYGGGCAGTTTCATTCAAGATTAGATGTAACATGATGCTCAGACTTGGCAGACAGTGGTGATTCCATTTTGAGGAATTTCCAAGGTTCCTTAGTTTGATTTYAGTGTGGAACAAGACCCACTGTTTCCTTCACTCTGAACAGAGAGCTGGAATGCTCACGCAGGCAGTGATGAGAGAGGTCCCCAGGCCAGGCTGCCCATGGCAAAATGCTGGGCTCTGCTTCCTGGTTGCCTATCATAAGAAAGAACCTTTTCTTCTGGGCTGTCTTGCTTTCAACACACTGGCAAAATCTGATAAAAAATTGTTTTTCTGGATCTTTACTGCCAGCTCTTGTGAATGTCTACAACAACTACACGCTAGCAAAGACTGCAGACTCAGCAAAATKAGGAAAATCAATGTTCAATTATTAACAGAGAGAAAGAAATAAAGGCAAATGGGAAAAGGTGAATTTAATTTCAGTTTCCAAGTACATCGATCCACTTTTTTTATATGGCACTGGAGCACTGCAGAACAACCCAACCAGGCTACTACAATTACAGCAGCCYCAGGTTTAAGTTGCAAGCACTGGATCCTAATGAGATGTCTGGGAGGGAAAGCTTTTTTAGATTTTYGAGTGTAGAACTGAACATATTTGCTTCCTAAAGCAGGAGCAGTGAAAACAAGAATGAAGATGGCTCATTGATAYGACTGTGAACTTCAGCAGCAGATTTGAACCAGGTACATGAAACAAACTATTGAGAAACTCTGATTGGAGTTTAAAGTTAGGCCACTGGTTTTACCAGCAATTGCTGCTGCATTTA